AAAAAAAAAAAAAAAAAAAGAGGAAAGAAAAGAGAAAAAAAAAAGACTATGCCGGTACGTGTACGGCAATTAATAAACTGCCGACTGCACAACGCCCCGTGCAGAGGATGCGAGAACCAGCTACTTCCTCCTCCACGAAACCATTCCGGCTACTTCCTCCTCCACGAAACAATTCCTCTCCTCCTCTACACTCGGTCCAGTGGAAAGGACGGAACAAACAATATCGACCAACGTCGGGGAGCAAAGCCAGCAGCAACGAGCGTTGGTCCCAAAAGTCGACGTCTGCAACGCACACACATACGTATCTTCCTCGCAATCACCACGCCAAATCGCACGGCCTGCGTGTGCCCGCGCGCAGACAGCACTTCCGTCGAAGTGAGACCCTGCGGTTCGATGCATTGCACGCGTGGCGTGCAGACCCAAACCTCAACCTTTGGAGACAGCGATGAAGATCCCAAAATCGCTATGTGTCGTTGAGCCGCATATTCAAAGCTCAAAACTTCCCTCTACAGTCACCTCTCTCTCTCTCTCTCTCTCTCTCTCTCTCTCTCTCTCTCTCTCTCTCTCTCTCTCTCTCTCTCTCTCTCTCTCAGAGCGAGCATGCCTGCCACCTCTCTCTCTCTCAATACGCTTCCCTCTCTCTCTCTCAATGCATGCCAGTACGCTGTCCCTTTCTCTCTCGCTCCCTCCCTCTCTCGTTCTCTCTGTGGATTGACTGAATGATTGATGGATGGATGGATGGATGGAGTGATTATTGATTGCTTTTTTTTTTTTTTTTAATGCTGACAAAACATTCTGTTCACTGTCTAAATATGCACAGGGTTAGACTCCCCAAGTGAAAGAAATTGCGATGAAAAGCACCCTCGCATGGCAATGCTCCGTTGCACGATGAAAAGAACCTTGCACGACGATGCTCCCCTAGACACAACAGTCTGGCGCAGGTATGCTTTTTCTGCGGGGTTGTGTTTAGCGACCATGGCAACACACACACACACACACACACACACACACACACACACACATGCAGGGTTGGTGTGTGTAAAGTCGAGAACTTTCTCAGGGGTCTCACTAACATTGCGCACCGTGGAGAGTCCTTATCCATCAGTGAAATGCATCCTGCCCAGACTGTCAGAGTTCAACCTCTTGATGAGTCAGTAAAAGTCCGATGAAACAGTTGGCACAGTCATGCTTTCTTTCTGGGTTGTGTATAGCAAACATGACAACAGACAGACAGACACACAAACACACACATCAGGGTTGATGTGAGTACAGTCCACGACTTACTCATGGGTATCCCTAACTCCAGGCGACGTGGCGAGTCTTTATCAATCAGTCAAATGCATTCTGCGCAGACTGTCGGGGCTCAACCTCCTGATGAGTCGGTGAAAGTGCGATGAAACAGTCTGGAACAGTCATGGTATTTTTGTGGTGTCGGGTATAGCAAACATGACAACACACACACACACACACACACACACACACACACACACACACATCAGGTTCTCAGCCTTTTGGCTAAGATCATGTATAGTATCTGTTCTGATCAGTTTAAAAAAAAAAAAAAAAAAAAAAAAAAAAAAACATGACAACACACACACACACACACACACACACACACACATGGGTGGTGTGTGCGTCAAATGTACACATACACACACACCGGTCACTCCGTTCCCCCCACTCTTCCCCCTCCACACACCCGACACTGCCCCCCACCAACGCACCTGCCTTCCCAGTGTTCCCACCCTGCCACAACCTCCTGATGAGTCAGTGAAAGTGCGATGAAACAGTCTGGAACAGTCATGCTATTTTTGTGGTGTCGCGTATAGCAAACATGACAACACACACAAGAGACAGACACACACATGTTATGAACCTGGTTGCTTGTTGGCAGATGACCAACACTCACTCGCATAGACTTCCAGGTATGCCCATACATACACAGAAGGAAGGGGAGAGGATGGGAGTATCACACCGCACAGGGAGAGAGAAACACAGCGGAAGACTTAGCCATGCGATATGACAGAGTACACTGAAAGTGCAAACCGCTCCACAGAATCCTCACAACCAGTCCTCACAACCAGTCACAAAGGAAAGCCGAGAAGATCACATCCAGAAAACAATGAAGCAAAGATAGTTCACACACAGTATCAACAGTGTTTATTAAACTCAAGAGTCTCGTTTTGCCAGAATAACCTCAGAACTATGGTGCGCTGCTCAGAAGTGAGCAGAGCTTCTCTCCCAACCCTGAGTAACCGCTACCCACTACCCAGAACCCCTGAAACAACTCCCGCCACCCAGATACTGCCTCCAGAGGGAAGCACCACCCTGAAACAGGCCTCTGAGGCCAAGCGCCTCTCAGAGGATGAAGAGGAAGACCAGCGCCACAGTCTCTGATGGAGATGAAATGCCAGAAGGCCTCTCAGGTGAAGATCTTCAGCAGCGCCACGTCTCCTGGCAAAGATGATCTCTGAGGATGCAAGCTACAGCTATGGCTGCAGCTCCACCACCCTGAAACCCTACTCCTGAGGAGGGTTCAGCAGGGCACAAACTTCTCCTGCTCCCATCAGGCCTGAGATAGCCCAGACCTCTGTACAGCCCTGCATGCTGTCAGAGAACAGCGAAGGTCCCAGCTATGGCCGACACTTCAAAGGTCTGGCTATGTCTGCCTCCTCCAATGCTGAAGCTGTACCACTGCCAGTTCACGCGTTGCACAGCCGCGATCTACTCGGTACCAACTGCCAAAAAGCCCTGAACAGACTTCGACAATCTATTAATAACACTACACCAACCTGGCCTCGACCTAGACCGGACTGACTGGACTGACCAGTGCCGTTTCAGTTTCGGCCTCTCGGGCCTCTCCCTACCCGGCTATAGGCGATAGGACCAGTCTAACAGCATAGGCCTCACGGCCTGTCTGTCCTAGTGGTAGCCCGGGTCTGCTATTCACAGTTAGGGTAGCTGTAGGAAATTCGAGTTAGTATGGGCCTGCAATTTTGCCCAAATTTACAGATGTGTCCCTCACGACTTTTCCTCACCGTCAGATATCTCCGTTAGCCCCCAGCCAACGAAATTACGAATCTGGCCTAGCTATGTTACAGCCTCGAGTCGATGAGCCGCAGGCTGCAGAATCAGCAAGTCATTGCACACACACACACACACACACACACACACACACACACACACACACACACACACACATATGGGTGGTGCGTGCGTCAAATGCACACATACACACACCGGCCACTCTGTCCCCGCCTATCCTCACTCTGCCCCCGCCACTCTGCACCCTTCACACACCCGCCACTCTTCCTCCCCCCCCCCCCCCCCCCCCCCCCCCCCCCCCCCCCCCCCCCCCCCCCCTGACACACCTGCCTTCCCACCCTGCCACAGCGCTCCCAGGCTCCCTTCCCGACCATGCAGTCCCTGCCACCCTGCCCCCGGACCAGCATGGGGAGCATCGCCAGAGGAATTCCAGGAGATCCCAAAGTTGCTTTGTTGAACTCCCGGCAGGAGGGTGTGCTCACTCCACCCTCCTCTCTTTTTCCGTTTGGGAACGTATCCCCAGGGTTGGGGGGTCCCATCCCTGAACCCCCAGGGCCGTTGCGAGGACTCAGGCCAGGAGGTTAACCCTGGAACACAACAAGGATACTCTCAGCTCCTAAAAGTCAGGAATGCAGGCGAAACTGAACTCTGTCCAGATTTAGTCACAGCTCACATGCGGGTGGTCGTTTCCTTTTTCCTCTCATTTGTGCAAGGAACAGACGAGCCCGTTTTTCACGGCCTCTGACAGACGATTGAGAGAGAGAGGGGAATCTTTCATTCAACACGTTACACAGGTATCTGCACACTGCACAGCTTCTTGACCACCATCCATTTATGAAAGCATCAGTGTGACCCTGCACTTTATTCTTTTTTTCCCCTCGTCCAGTACGTCAGCACTATCAGACAGCCATTAAAAGCATCCCTCTCTGATGGGCACGGTGCTGCTAGTTTCCGTCTCGGGAATGCATCTAACAACGTATTCAAATTCACTCACGAGATGCAAAGTGGGAGTCTGCCATATCATTTTCCTGTTTGTCTTCCCCTTTCTTCCCTCTTCTTTTTTTATTCTCATTCACAACCACTGTTTTTGGTTTCTCAAGGCAAGGATGGCTTCATCCGCGCTAACGCCATTTTGACTACGAACCTGGTTCAGAACTTCCACTGCATTTAACAGCAGCCTTGCTGTACACTGATGCCATTTAGAAATTCCCAATCCTCTACCAGCCAATGAGATATAGCATGGCAGTGAAGGCACCGAGTACTCCAAAGCACACTTCCTGGATAGAAGACGCAAGGTTCTACTTACATGAATCCTTTGGTTGGAGCCGTTGATCGTTGTAATCAAACATTAAAAAAGGAGGATCCAGGCGAGTGGAACGTGGGCTGAGGAGGCCACACACCCGAAACGCACCAAAAAGTTAAACGGAAAAACAGATCGACGGCCATCACATTTTCATCTGACTCAGATGGTTTGCGAAGCTGCTGTTCTTTTCAGAAAGGCATTTGTCTCCTCCCCATGCCCCTCCCACCCCCCTCCCACCCCGCTCCCACCCCAAGCTCTACAACCCCTGGAAAGGTATTTTCTAGAAGCTTCTTCGATGTTGAGAAACTCCTCGGCCATAAGTCGT